GCAGAGGAAAGGGAGGCGACGGCGTGCGGAGGGCCGGAGCGCGCTAAGCGGACGGCGGATGTCAGAGGGTAGAGTCACTTTTAGGCACATCGCGGGTGTCCAACGAAGAGACGACAGATTGTGCCATCTCGCAAAGGACCTCAAAATATGATAGGGTTTTACTTAGTGTTAAACTATTCATATATATATGTGTGTGTGTGTGTGTAAAAATCAGTGAAATACTTTTTTGAAAGGTTTTCTTAGCCTTTCAAAACCACCTCAGAGCCTGGTGTGGTGCACATGCTTGTAATTCCAGCACTCCAGAGGCTGAGGCGGGAGGATTGCTCTGAGTTCGAGGCCAGCCTGAACTGCATGGAGAAACCCTGTCTCAAAAAGACAAAAAAAAAGAAAAATCCAAGTCCACCTCAGGATAATAATAAGAGCACATTCTAGTAGTCAAGAAATAGGAGTTATAATCTTGGTTCTGGAAGAGAAATTAATAAAACAGCGTGCTTACAAAATTAAAATATGCACCATCACATTGCAAGTATTAAAATATCCCTATATAAGTGTTTTTGCAAATTGTGAAGGTAGTTTTTAAACTGGGCATGGTGGTCCAAACCTGTAACCCCAACTCAGAAGGCTGAAGCAAGAAGATCCACCTTCAGACCAGTCTGGGCAATTTAGCCAGACCCTGTCTCAAAGTAAAAACAAAAAACAAAGGTCTGGAGTTGTAGCTTAGTAGTAGAGTGCTTGCCTAGTGAGTGTGAAGCCCTGAGTTGGATCCCCAACACCAAAAATTAAAATTGCAAGAGTGATAACCTGTGAAATGAAGTTAGGCATTGTACAATCTGTGAAACTTTTCCTGAAAGAATAAAAACATCATACCACATCCGTGTTTATAATACCCAAATCTTGGAAACAGTCCAAATGCCCATCAACCAATGAATGAATAAAGAAGGTCTTTTAAAAAAAAAAATACAATGGACTACTACTCAGCCATAAAGAAGGATAAATTTGAGACATTTTAGGTAAATGGATGCACTTGAGACCATTCTCTTAAGTGAAAGAAATCCAACACGTGTAAATATCGCATTGTTTCTGTGGTGTGAGAAACTGAAAGTGTAAATAAGGACCAAAATGTGTAGTATTAGATATTGTGAAGTAGGAAGAAAATGTTCAAATGGGAAGGGGGGCTAGGATGGGGGGAGAGGGAAAAGAAAAAAAAAGAGAGGAAGGAAAAAATGGAAACAAAGCTTTTGTAAATGAGGGAAAGAGAGATTGAAGGGAGGGGAGGGGGAAAAAGAAAGAATCAAGATTCCTTATGATGAGTGTGATCGTTATGTGTACCTAAAATGGACCAGCAAACTTAATTAATTAAAAAAGCTGGGCCAGGGATATAGCTCAGTGGCACAAGTGCCTGCCTGGCAAGTGCAGTGTCCTGAGTTCGATTCCTAGTACAAAAAAACAGAAAAACTTTACTATGGGTCATGTGACATCTCATGAACTGGGAAGTGACTTCTGCAGCAGTGTGGTGACATTGCAACATTACAGTTGGCCTTTCCCCCCTGGTTCTGTGGGCACTGATCCTGTCACTTGCAAAGTAACAGGAAATCAAAATATACAGGCTTTATCGGAGAAGGCATTAGGGCATCAGAGTTTTGTCTGGGCCCCTAATTACCATTTGTCCTATTCCAGCAGCTTCCATTCCTGTCCCTGTAGTCATTGCATGTGATTCGTCTGTATTGTAGTAGAGAATAATAGAGATGGCCACGTCTTTGTGGCTGTCTCACTCATTCGTTGGGCTGTCTCTAACCCAGTCTCACTTTCCCATTGGAATTGCTTCTGTGTGCTACGTGTGTTTAACTTTCTCTGATTTACGGTAGGGCTCATCACGTTGTTGTCCGAGGTCTTTACAAAAGCATGAGAGCATTCGCCGGGGCCTTTGGGTCATGCTCTTGGCTGTATGTGCCGGGGACACCTTCTAAGGAACCTCGGGTGGAAGGAGAGGGGAGCACTTGAACAGAATGAAGCTGTGCTGTGGGGGTGCACCACCTCCCCGTGAGGAATGTAATCATTATGTCCTACGAACATGTACTCATAAACATTTTTAAAAATCAAACAAACGAAAGAACCTCTTCTTGGCCCAGCAAAACCCTGACGTTCTGCTGCTCTTTGCACTTTGCAGGGTCCGTGCTTATAATTCTCGATGGAGAGTGAAAGCACAGATTCAGGATGAAAACCAGCCCCCATCGGCCACTGATTCTCAAAAGACGGAGGCTGCCCCTTCCCGTTCAGAATGCTGCAGCTGAAACGCCCGAGGAGGAGTCTAACAGACCCCCTGCCCAAAAGGAGCCCAGGGAAGCCCCGGCCCCCGAGGAGGTGGCAGAGTCCAGCTCCTGCAAGTTTCCGGCCGGGATCAAGATTATTAATCACCCCACCATGCCCAACACGCAAGTGGTGGCCATCCCTAGCAATGCTGATATCCAGAGCATCATCACGGTACTGACCGCCAGAGGAAAAGAGAGTGGCAGCAGTGGGCCCAATAAATTCATCCTCATCAGCTGCGGGGGAGCCCCCGCTCGCTTGCCAGGGCCCCAGCCGCAAGCCCAGAGCAGCGGTGATTCCAAGAGCACAGAAGCGCTCACTGACAAGTCGGGACCGAAGCCTGCGGCCGGAGATGGGCACGTGTCTAGGCCATCTGGAGCCCCTCCAGGGCACCGTCGGGAGAACCGTGGTACGTGGTCTGCAGGGCAGAGGGTGAGGAGCCTGGCCCTTCCTCTGGTGGCAAGGCTTGCAGCAGTCTGTCTTGTTGCCTGCAAGACAGATATCCACCAAGAAGCCAGGGAAAGTCTCTCCATCCTGAAGCGTTGACACAGAGCCTGTGGGCACAGTTGAATGAATTAGTTACGGTCTAGCATTTCTATTGGTTTCCTTAAACGTATTGGTAAGGGATTTGCTCATCATTTCTTTATTCTTTCCGTTGGCCTTGTGAGGAAGTCAGTCTTTCTCCATCTGAATAAAGGAGCAAATTGAAGCATGAGGAAGAAAAGTGGCTTTTTAATAGCTTTTCCATAGCTCCTGGGTAAGGTTGCCTTTATTGATAGCTAAGGTTTAGCATGGCTCATACTGAAATGTACTTTGAATTACTTGTCTGAATTTGTCCTCCAACCCCTAGTGGAGCAGAGTAACTCAGAGGCACCATAGGTTCCCCATGTGTCCCCTGCCCTGAGGGAGGCGGCGGAGGGGTGGTTCCTGACCGCTGACTTTGGTGGGCATGCCGGGCGTCTGAGCAGCCAGCTGAGCGGGGTCTTGGTTTGTTTCTTCTCTAGCTGGCGGCGAGGCAGCAGGCTACGCCCTGGACAGCAGCCTGACCAACATCCAGTGGCTTGGGAAGATGAGTTCCGACAGACTGGACTCCTGCAGCATCAAGCAGGAAGTGGAGGAGAAGGAGAACTGTCACGTGCAGCAGAGTCAGGTCAAGGTAAACTGTTGTGCCCCTCGCTAGGGAATCAGAGGGAGTGCAGGACATTCCTAAGAAGGGATTGTGTGGCCCGCTGGATAGCATTTCCAGATCTGCTGTCAGCGCTCCACTTAGTGCTATTCTGTAGAACTCTGAGCTGTTTTTCGCCTGGGATCTTTTTTGCCCCTCTCCGCAACATTTCCTCGAGCGCAGACTCCCTTGGCTTTTCCTGTGCTCCTCTTGAGCACTGGGTTTGGTAGTCTGCCTTGGTAGGTCCTCTCTAAGTTTTCAGGAAATGATTATAACAAGTTTGGGAAGCTGCTTGAGCTTCACTGAGGCATCGTAAGAGTATGAATGGAATACAGCATCTTTAACAATATAGTTTTACTAGATAATATACTGTAATAGTAGTAGCAAAAGTGATTTAAATACTTCTCATGCAATCAAAATTGAACTAAGCCAACTGTGTAGTCTGGGTTAGTTTTTCTGTGTTCATAGTTGCCAGTATTACAGATCTACTCCTAGGTTCTGTTGTATAAACTCTTTAACCATTAATCAACAATCTTTAAAAGTGAAAATGTAAGCCAGGAGTGGTGCACGCCCATAATCCCAGCACTCTGGGAGGCTGAGGCAGAGAAGTTTTCAAGTTCAAGCCCAGCCTGGGAAGTTTAGTGAGACCCTATCTCAAAAAAGAAAATAAAGGGTTGTGGGTGTAGCTTAGCACAAAGGCCCTGGATTCAATCTCTAGTGCTGCAAAAAAAAAAAAAAAAAAAAAAAAAGTTAAAATTTAATGGTGGTTTATACCTATAATCCCAACACAGGATAAGCTGAGGCAGGAGGACTGCAAGGTTGAAGCCAGTCTGGGCTACATAACAAGAGCATAGCAAGGTCAATGCCAGTCTGAGCTACACAATGAGAACGCGTCTCAAAAAAAGTGAAAATTTACATGGATGTATACATCAGTATTTTTATTGAGTGTTTCACTATGCCTATATCAATAAATATTAATTGAGCTATATACATAAATATAAAGTTGTACTTTGAAAGTTATAATTTAGTTTTTAAAAATGTAAATGCTGAGGGGCTGGGGATTTAGCTCAGCAGTACAGTGCCTGCCTGGCAGGCGCAAGGTTGTGAGTTCAATTCCCCGTTCCGGAGAAAAACCCTCCCCCCCAAAAATGTAAATGCTGGATGTGGTGGTACATGCGTGTAATCCCAGTACTCAGGAGGCTGAGGCAGAAGGATTGCTGCAAGTTCGAGGCCAGCCTGAGCTACATAGAGAGACCCTGTCTCAAAAAGGCAAAAAAAAAAAAAAAAAGTGAATGATCAGATTTTTGCCCAAGACTTAGGCAAATGTAGGCTTTGAAGACATTTTTTTCTACCCAAAACTCTTGAGACTATGTCACTCCTACAGACACTCAAATGAGATGGATTTATTCACATTACATCAGGAGAAAAAAAATGGGATGAAGACCTAGGTCTCTTGATCTGCAAGTCTAAAAAATGGGCATGAGTTAGTATAAAATCAGTGGTTGGAGCACTTTCAATTACAGGGGACTGGACTTTTCCTTATTATTGGGTAATATCTTCAGGAAGGTGAATGGTGATGGAAAAGCAGTCAGTTCCTTACTGGCTTGAGTTCAGACTAGGTCATCATCAGATCCTCCCCGGTCCTAAAAGTGTTTCCTGTGGGATATGGGTCTCAGATGAGTTTGTCGCTCATCCGTTTCTAGGAAGTAAAGTTCCCAAAGGGCCAAGGCTGGGGGAGTGTGGTTCTCGCGAACTCTTCCGTGTCATTCCTCTTCTCTTTCCCTTTGGCTCTCGACCCAGGTGGAGGAGCCCTTGGGCGCATCCACACCCTGGCAGGACTCTGTGTCTGAGAGGCCGCCTTACTCTTACATGGCCATGATACAGTTCGCCATCAACAGCACCGAGAGGAAGCGCATGACCTTGAAGGACATCTACACTTGGATCGAGGACCACTTCCCCTATTTTAAGCACATTGCCAAGCCAGGCTGGAAGGTAATCCGTCCCATGCCCGTGAGAGTCGAGGTCACTGCAGCCCTACACCGTGCACCTGGCACTGTGCTGCAGTCCGTGTGGTGCTCTGGGGCTGCAGGGAGGTACAGAGGCTCAAACCCTAAGCAGAGGCCTCTCCGGTGTTATGACTTGATCCTACTGAATCTAGGTAAAAGCAATAAACATGCTGTGGCCACTTCTTCTTTTACTACAGAGCTTAATGAAGAAAACAAACCTGAACCCCATGACCCCCAGACTCATCTGAAACATCCCATTTCTAGCGGCCAGGGCTTTTCTTTACTTGGCTCATGATCTTGAAGGACATCTACTCTTGGATGGAGGACCACTTCCTCTGTTTTAAGCACACTGCCAAGCCAGGCCGGAAGGCTAGAAGATGGGAATTGATGTAGCTCAGATGGTTGGTCAGTGTTGGAACCGCAGTTGCTTAGTTGTTTGTTTGTTTGTTGTTTCGTAGACAGTCTGGCCATGAATGAACTCAGCGTAGCCCACGTTGGCCTTGAACTTGCTGTGATCCTTCTGCCTCAGCTTACTGAGTGCTTGGATTATAGATGCGTGCCATCACGCCTGGCACAAGTTAGGTCTTTTGACTCAACTCTAAGCCAAGGATGGTCTATTTTGTTCTATTTTCTCCACGGTAGAACTCTGCACACTCATATCAACTTAATTTCCGAGTTTCGTAGTTTATCTCACCCACCTTTCTTAATATTGATTATTACTTCACAGTCTCGCTGTACTTTCCTAGTCCTCCAGGATGGCTCGATCTCCCTCTCTGTCTCTTTCTGTCTCTGTCTCTGTCTATGTCTCTCTCTCTCTCTCTGTTTTGTTTTCATCTTTGTCTTTTTAAAACAGGGTCTCACCATGCAGTTTAGGCTGGCCTTGAACTTACAGTGATCCTCCTGCCTCAGCCTCCCAAGTGCTGGGATTACAAGTGTGTGCCAGCACACCTGGCCTCTCTTTCTCTCTTTATGTGCTGAGCATGGAAACCAGGTCCTCACACATGCTAGGCAGACACTGTACCACTGAGCATATCCCCAGCCCTTTTTGAGACAGATTCTCACCAAGTTACCCAGGGTAGACTTGAACTGTCAATACCGTTGCCTCAGCTTCTTGAATAGCTGGGATGAAAGGCATACATCACTACACTTGGCTCTCAGTAAAATCTTTTCCTTGAGCTGGGCACAGTGCATGCCTGTAATCCCAGCAGTTGGAGGCTGAGGCAGGAAGACTGACAAGAATTCAAAGGCAGCCATGGCTACATAGTGAGTTCAGGCCAACCTGAACTATATATATATATA